GTTAAGTATAAAAAAAAAATATTGAGAATATAGTATGAAAAAGAAAAAAGAAAAAAAAAAAAGAAAGAAAGAAAGAAAAAATTTTATTAATAAATGAATGATTATATTATGTCTGTATGGATTGTTATACAATAAGTTTTTTTTTTCTTTTTTTTTGGTTTTTTTTTTTTCTTTCTTTTTTTTACCACAGACCTTTTTGCTGTAAATATAATCATGAAAGTCATATAAATAATATTTCTCTAAGAGATGAGCTATAACGTTATTTTTATGTTAACCAAATAGATAATGGAATCCTGTAAAATGCTTAGAAGTTCTTAACGATGATGGGTATATAAAAGTATTGGTGGTGAATATTCTAGTATTAAATACGATAGTATTACAGAAGAAGGGAATTTTAATAAAATAATTAAGTTTGCTTAAATCCAATATATATATATGTATTCCAAGGGTAGCTTTATCTAATTAGTTGCAGCATACGTCAAAGAAGCCTTTCGAAAGCACCAGTAATAAGCTAAATATCTTACATAAAGGTGATAAATACTTTTATATGTCTTAAGTAACTAAGTTTAAAAAAAAATATATGTATATAAGATGTCTGTAAAAATATATATATATATGGGTATACGTATTTGTCTATCTGTCTCTGTCCATGTATATGTATGAGTGTACATTTATGTGTGTGTATATATATATATATGTATTGTAATGTGAAATTCTTCGTTCACTGTGGACAAGTGATTTAAAGTCGATGAAAAAATTTTTCTATTTCCGGCACAAAAATACATGTGTATACGCTTAGAATATTTCATTTCTGTATTAATTCTACGTAATACAAATCACGAATGAGATATTAGTCATTAAATAAAATCAAGACACAGAGGAGAAAGAGTGAGAGAGATAGAAAGAGAGAGAGAGAGAGAGAAAGAAAGATAGAGATTTTGGTATATATTATTAATATGGAAGAGAGATATAGATAATATAGTGCACCTTATATGAATATATAGATTCTCTTGTGCCAAAAAGGGGGAAAAAGCTTTTTATAATAACTGCACGTTTTACGATTACTGGGTCAATTGAAAAAAAAAAATAAAAAAAATAAAAAAAAAAAAAAAAGAAAATATTGCTACGAGAAACTTTGCTACAAAACAACTTTTGGCCAGGACAAGTTGTACTTAAACAGACCTGTCGCACACGTGAAGTGAGAGTAGCACATGCGGTCAGGATCAGGATTCGTATTGAGATAGACCTTTAAGATGAATTCCCTGGCCGGTACATCTTGTTGCTTTGGGCCTATACCATAAAACTTATTGATTGTCTAATAAAATGATGTATGCTCTCTATGTACCAAGTAATACGTCATAATCAACACATATAATATTAGAGAAAATTTACTTTTCTTATTATTGGCAAATGTCCCACAAATTGTCTCTATCGTATAGCATTCCTAAAAAAACCTTTTTCTAAACATATACTAAAATCTTGTCAAATATTTTTCTTGTCAAATTAAGATAAAAAGAATAATAATACACATATAGAGGTATAGGTATATTGATTTTCTAATAAAATTAAAAACTATCAAAAATTCTTGTGTCTTCAACATATGGTGTGTATTTCACAACATTCATGTGTATGTGTATATATATATAAATATATATATATATATATATATATATATATATGTACTAATAATTTTAGGAGATGAAAAAAAAAAAAAATATATATATATATATATAACCCAACTTACCATCGTATTCAGGAAAATAATCCACCAGATGAGAATACATTATTTTCTCTTCGAGTAGATCTTTTTTATTTAGGAACAAAATAACGGAAGAATGTTGGAACCAGGGATATGTTATAATCGTTTTGAAGAGCGCTTTACTTTCTTCCATTCGATTCTAGAAGAGAAAAGAAAAAGAGAAAAAACAAATTATTACAAATACACTTTAGATTAAATTCATTTAATTAATTCAAAACTAATTTTAATATCTATTTTATTATATTAAATGTTTATGTAACGTTATTATTATTATTCTTATTTTTTTTTATTTTTTTATTTTTCTTTTTTGTTACCTCGTTTTCCGATTCGAATAAAATTTGATCGTATTCACTTAAAGCTACTAAAAATATAATGGAAGTGACGTTCTCAAAACAATGAATCCATTTTCTTCTTTCTGATCTCTGTCCACCTACATCTACCATCCTGCAAAATATCATTAAACGAATTAGAATATCTCTCTTATATACTTAGTATGATATATATACCGTATTTTTATGTGTAAAAAAAAAAAAAAAAAAAAAATAACCGACATAATCATACATATGTATATAATTCTTATAAATCTTATTTGAAACATATATATATATATATATCACAATTTACTAATTTACAAATAACACTGTGCGAATAGATCATTAGATATTAGAGAAGAGGCATGCCGATAGTTTTTATGTTAAAGGAAAAAACATGAATTTATTGAAAATTTACATGCATGCATAC